AACGGTGTGGTGATCACGAAAGTGTCAACCACTGAATGTTCCCTGCTCCAGCAGGAAGCTCGGCGAATGATTTCACGATGAACCTCATACCCTGACGGTTCTTTAGAACCAGTAACCTAAACGACTAGCGAATATGACGTTATTAGCACTTAGGTAACAACTGAGTACTATTGGATACCATGGAAAACCATAGAGAGTTTAACCAGGGACCAGATAGAGAAAGACTGGAATCAAGCCGCTCTCCTTTGACCCCATGCTCCAAGCCGCCAAAAAGTTTTGCGCTAATCTGCAACTGTTGATCAGGTGGTGAGATAAAAGAGCGCATGAAATTTCAGGATTTAGAATTCCTACATCAGAAAGTGGTATCACAGCAACTGTTCGCTGTCCCTTCCAATGATTTCTCATCCATTGTTGAATGTGTAAAGAGTAGAACAAGCGAACACAAACTTGTGTAATTTTATCCTTTTTTAACTTGAAAAATACACAAAACACGCGAAAACACGCATTAGCAAACTTGTTATTGAAGATTGTAAATCATGAAACAAATAACGGGACATTAAAGCATGCACAAATTAGCGCATCATCCTAAAATATTGACTTTTTGTCACGATGTTACTTTTCTTTTACCAACTCTGGCACACAAATTATAGGAAGGACGGAGTTCTAAATTTAAAAATTTGTTTGATGCACTATTCCCAATAAAATCCCCATACAAAGTTTTTGATTTACGCTGCAGTTGTGCCGGTAATGTAATATTTTGAAATAAATCTAATAATAATAATAATAGCTCACATTTATAATGCGCCTAATACTACGTTTCTAGGCGCGGAACATATTATTAAAACTGGTGCCTGGCTTCCGAAAGTCACCGCAGTGGAACTTCAAAGCCAAGTGGAATGTTACACATCTCATGAATGCGTTTGAATAAATTACAAGAGTTTCGCCTCCTTTCTTTCACCTCCCTGGTTTAACAGAAGATGACTATAAAAGGGTAATGTGTGAATGTTTGCCCTGTCAGTTAATTTTTTAGAATATTTGATAAAACGTTAATCAGTTTGACATTACCAAATTGAGGGAAACAATAGCAGTTGAGTAAATATATATTGTGTTTTAAAGTCATCATGAAAGATTCCATTGGTTATGAACATCTGTAAGTGTCCATGAACAATTTGCTTTTTGCCTTAATAAAACGCGTCTTCAAAATCTAATTGGTTGTCATTGTGAGTTTCATCAAATTAAGAGGTAATCGGAGGGAAAATTAGATGAAAAAGAAGTTTAAAGTGATGGGTTTGTTCCACTATTTTAAGAAGGGGTGAGGGTACTGACTGGGAGAGCGGGAAATAATTGAAAAAAAAGTAACAGAGGGAAAAAGTGGGGAACGGGAGATAGAGAGGGGGAGAGACAGGAATTATTAGAGAGAGAAAGAGAGAGAGATAGATAGATAGAGAGAGAAAGAGAGAGAGAGATAGATAGAGAGAGAGAGAGAGAGAGAGAGAGAGAGAGAGACATTGGTGGTAAGGATGGGAGAGACACATAAACCTTCTTACTTTAACAGATCATGAGAATTACATGTATCAACATTATTTCTGAATGGCAGGTACCGTACGTCCATGTTGCCCCCCCCCCCCCCCCCTATTTCACCGGTGCTCCCTTATTGGCTGGATCCATACTACCATTACATATTATCATTGGCTGGATCCACACTACCATTACATATTATCATTTTCCTTTCCCTCCCCCTCCCCCTCCCCCTGCCCCCCCCCCCCCCGGCCCACCCCCTCTCTCTCTCTCTCTCTCTCTCTCTCTCTCTCTCTCTCTCTCTCTCTCTCTCAATCCCTCGTTTTTATCCCTTTTCTCTTTCCTTCCTTACCCCCTCTTTTTTGTTTTACTTCTTCAACCCCTATTTACCATGTCCTCTCACCCTCTATTTCCATATCCTCTCGCTCTCTCTCTCTCTCTCTCTCTCTCACTTTTCCCTCTGTATTCATAATCGCTCTTTTTCTCACTCTTTCTCTGTTTGTCCTTCCTCTTCTCCTCTCTCTCTTTACTTATTCATCCTCCTCTTTACACTATCCCCTCTCCATCTCTATCCTTATTCTCCACTGTCGATCTCCTTCTTTCTTTCTCTCTTTCTCCCTCTGTATTTATTATCCCTCTTTTTCTTATACTACCCCCTCTTTCTCTCTCTCACACCCCTCTCCCTCTATCTCTTTCTCTCTCTCACACCCCTCTCCCTCTATCTCTTTCTCTCTCTCACACCCCTTTCACTCTGTATTTTTCTCTCCCTCTTCCGTAATTACACTGTGCCTCTCACCCCAACCGTCATCCCTCTTGCTCCCCTTCCTCTCTCAATTTTGTTTGTGCAAAACAAGTCAAGAGTGAACAATTAAGATTAGTTTTAATATGCATATTTTTTTATTTTTTTAAAGAATACTTTCATAAAATTCATGTCTTGACATGATCATCCATAACATACACATTGTCCCGCCCAGCAACAATGTTTACTCTAATGAAGCAATATAGATTGTATGGAATTATATTATTACTCTCAATAAACTATTAACTTCAAGATCAGGGGACGGCTTCAGATTTTATGAATGGTGGGAGGGGTTCAATTCCCCCGAATGTATGAAAACATAGTTCGAAAAAGATTATCAGGCGAAAATATAGGGGTTCATTTAGGCATGGATGTTACGATTTATATCAAGAAAACAAAAACAGGAGCGCTCCAGTCCCTCCTTTGCCCCTCACACCCCCTAAATTGTGATCCTCTTCTCTACATGAATATTCATAATGGAAACGCTGGTTCAACTTACAACAATATATTGCCAGCATTCTCCATATTCATTCAGACAAACTTTGTTTTCTTCTTTTTTCCCCTTCCACAGGGTTCCATTATTAAATAATAATATTCAGAAATACCTAAATGTGTTTCAAACAATTTTTTTTTTTTGCATACAGTTTTACAATAAACAAATGTTATTTAAATTTCATTAAAGAAAGAGATCATATCATAAAGTTACATATATGTAGTGCGCTATTTTGCACTAGTTGAAAATAAATATAATTCAAAGTTTTGTATTAAGTTTGGATGTAAAGACCTTTTATATTCTTTTCAGAATACGGTCCCAGGTTTATACAATATCGTGAAAGTTAAAAATCCAAAGTCAACTACACATGTGTTTAATGAAGGTAAGAACAATCATCACCCCTTTGCCCTCAATCGCTTCCAGAATTCGTTTTTTACTGTCACAGACAGGTACCACGTTTGGACCAAAGATAACATAGTCAATAAAACTTTGTCAAAACAAATATATATACATCAATCTGAGATATTGATTTCGTTCTATGAACTCCAACATATATTTCTTAAATTGATAAGCAAATGTATGCATCGCTATTATTTACAGCGGGCAATAAATCAAAATACATATACCTTATCAGCTATCATATCACATGAGGGAAAACAGTATTTACTTTCAAGTTAAACATTAACCTCATGAGATAAGACTAGATGATACTTGGTTGATTTAATAAATACAATTATCATTTTACATCACAAGGAGTGAGCAAAGTTTTAAACGTCTCTCTGCCTACAACGCAGTGGATCATGTTGTATGATGTTTATATTCTCATGAGTTTCCTCAACGTTAAACAACGTAATACTTCTCTAAACTACTGTGAGTATCATATTAACGATACACTTTATGATTTTGTTATAATTATTATCAGAATGGTTTCACTATGTTGTAATGTAATACTACATTGTATGATGTGTTACTGTATGAGGAAGTTAATGCTTTCTATTACAAAAGAAAACGTCATATATTGGTTTCAAACCACAAAGTCAGGAGTGCCGTGGTCGAGTGCTTTAAGGCGCTAGACTGGAGATAGCAATACATTAACGTGCACTTGCTACTATCCACCCAGGTTTTAAAATGGGTACCCGGTAGGATGCGACGTCAAAGTATAAACGCCTGGCTGGAATACTCCACATGGAGTGGAAATTTTGCACACAGTGCGTACGGGCATGTATTGAATCCAATGTCCGGGGTAATAGTATATGTATTAAGCGCTATATTAAAGCAGAATTATTATTATTATTAGTCAAATCGAATCCAAATGGTATTTGATATAATAAAAATATATATTTTCAGTTATTAAGCGCAGCATACATTTCCCCATATGCTTCGGCCACTTGGTAATATCAATTATCAACAACACTAATACAAACGCGCGCATACGATAATAAACCTATATGTAAAAAAAAAAAAGGACCAACGTGTCAATTTTGCTTTACATCATTAATTATGTTAATTGCAATCATTTATGAATTCCATTTTGTCTAATCACTAGAAAACCTGAAGAAAGTACACATTTTTTTTGGCAATGCATGTTTAATATAAATTACGAACACTTGTACGGAAAGAAACTATGAATTAAATAAATGTAATACTGGCTCTCAGCGCATTTTTTTTTATATGAATGCTATTTATTGTTCTTGCAGATGATTTTCAAGATCATACAAGTGTTTTATTAATAGTTTGATACAACCAATATATGACCTTTGTGTATCAATGTTAAAGCATTTTCACCAAAGGAAATACACTACCATTTATCAATAGTATTGTTTGTATTATGCATAACGATATAATAGATGTCATCGTATGTAATGTATTTCATTCATTTCCTCTCTCTCGGTCACTCCTTTGCACCCTCTCCTTCACTCCCCTTTTTCAATACCATTCCTTTTCATTTTTCCTTTTTCTCTTTTTCTCTTTCTCCCTCCCTCCCTCCTGACCTCACCTTCTCCCTTTCTTTATTCCTACTTCTCTATTCTTTCATTTCTCTCTACCCTCTACCTTTCTTCCCCCCCCCCCCCTCAGTCTTTCCCTCCCGGATCTATCCTACCCCTTTTATACCCCCCCCCCTCCTCCCTTCTCTCTCTCTCCCTCTCTTTTTCTCTTGATAATTGTTTTTTCTACAGGACCATTCTCTGATCAAGATGGCGGCACACTTCAGCTCTGCAGAAGACATATGTGAAGGAGAGAACTGTCAATCGATCACAGATGTGACGTACTACGTGAAGGAGAAGAAGAAGCTCTGCGAGGACTGCGCCTCAAAAGAGGAATGTATCGGAAAAGCTAGAAAGGGTAGGCCAAATTTATATTGTGAGAAGCATGATGGTGAAGAAATCAAACTGTATTGTAAAACTCACAATGTAGCAGTGTGTCAGTTATGCGCAACGATAGATCATCGTGACATGTCTTGCGTACAGCAGGATATAGAGGGCGCCATCATGGATACTAGAGCAAATTTAAACATTCTGAAAGAAACGGCAAAGGACAAATTGGACCTTTGTCGAGTTATTGGAGTTCAGATTCATCAGTGTAGGAGAGACACCGACACCCATCTACAAGCTTTGGAAGATGAAGTAGATTCGGTAATCAATGAGGCGATCCAAACAGACAAAGACAAAGAGAAGGAGGATCTTGCTAAAATCAACCAGGAGATCGATGAGAAGAATGACAAACTTCGCGAGGAGATCCAACAAATCAATGAAAAGATTCGACAGAACGATGAGGAGAGAGAGAAGAGAAGTGAATTAAACTGTCTAAATGCAGAGAAAAAACGAGAATCTATCGACAATAAACAACATAGTCTTCAAACAGACATTAAGAACATCGCTGAAGAGAAAGAAAGAAAGATTGGTGAGTTGGAGAGCGCATGGAAAGATGACACAAAAAACACGGAGACTACAGTACATACACTCGATATAGTACTCGAAAATGATACAAGTGTCGTCGAAGACGGGCAACGTGTGAAGACATCGGTGAGTGATGAACTAAAGAAGCCACTGAATGAGGGTGAGGTGAAACGAGTCACTGATAAAATATCGGGTGTGAGTTTTGTGAAGGGTGCTGGGAGAGAGAAGTATGATGGGAGAATAAATGGGTATGATGGGGAATGGAAGCTCATTGATACAATCAATGTCCGTGATGACATCACATACCCAGTCGTTGTAGGATGCCTAGATGAATGCAATTTGATTATCACAGATTGTTTACGTGGTAGCCTACATACTTACATGTTAGATATAAACACTAAAAATACTCAGAGAGTGATAACTGGTAAAGATACAGCATGGGTTTCTTCATGTGCATTACTGAATGATGACAAGGTAGTATGCAGTAAAAACAGTAAATGGGGTACACGGGACATTTCGACTGGACTCATCAGTGTGTATGACAGACAATGGAAGCACATCAATGACGTCACAATACCAAGAAACACAACGAGAGATGGCACAAGGGTGGATGTAGCTGTTGACCAGGATGGGATGATCATCACTGTTCAGTGGTTGCAGTCTAAGATATACGTCATCAACCCAGCTGATTGTAAGATCATGAATACCATCACATGCAAACATAACACAATAATGCTCGGTGTGCTATCATCAGGTCACATCATCGCTCAACCCAACATAATAGATCACAGAGTGTTCATTATCGATAGGCAGGGTGCTCAAAAGGAAATCCCCCACAGTGGTGACATCCTCAATGCCTGCATCGATCCTATGACAGACGACCTCTACGTCGTGACATCAGATCATGACGAGTACAAGACGTGTGTGATTGATCAGGTGATGAGCGGGAGTGAAATGAAGAAGAGAAGGGTAGCATCATTCCCTCTATCAAGTAGATTGGGTACTAGAAAGAAACAGTGTAAATATTCTCGCGTTATGATGACGCCATCAGGGAAACTGATTGCTAGCGATGGAGACCACATTCTCGTATTCAAAAACAGATTTACCCTCTAAATCAAATCATGTATGATTACAATTTTGTATGATCACTACGTATACACACGTACGTAAATATGCAAACGGTATGGCTCTCTATACAGCATTCCAATGATTACATGATGATCTCAACACTGTTAGAACAAGTATTACAATTTTTAATCAAGTTGGTTAAAATTTTAATCAACCACGGATTACCAGGTGAATCACACAATCGTTGGTTAATTCTTTTTTGATTCACACGATGTTGGTTAAACTTTAGTGGGTTGTTGGTTACAGTTATAACCACTGTTGGTTAAACTTACGTGGGTTTGGAGGTCTTATCCTCGTGTTTGCAGGTTAGAAATTGTTTAATATGATTATCATCAATGCTAAGATTGGAAGGAAGAAGTGAAATAAGGTTCTTGCTCAAATTAAAAACGCTTTATGTCCCGGCCCGTAGGTTGTAGCTCAGCCAGTAAGTGTAACGGACGACCTACCCAAATTGCATCATGAAGACGTTTCACTTTATGATGACATTTTTTTAAATATTTAATTGTGTTAAACAATTAGAAACAATTAGATTTAAAAAAAATAAGATTATTATTCATGCATGCAATTTGGGTAGGTGATCCGTAATAGGCCTACACTTCTCCTTCTTTAATTGGGTCTGCCTCCTTCACGGTTGAAGATTCTTGCAGACTGATGAGTGTGTGTGTGCTTACGAGAGCCAGGTGCACGGTGCAGGTAAAATGTTACTTATTGGTTGAGCTACGTACAGCCTAGGGGACGCAAATCGTTTTTGATTTGAGCAAGAACCTTATTTTACTTCTTCCTTACAATCTTAGAATTGATGATGATCATATTAAAATAATTTCTTACCTGAAAACACGGAGATAAGACCGTCCAAACCCCCATTTCTCAGGTCCTCGCGACAACCTTCATTGTTAATTTTGTCGCACGCGTAAACTGCATGTACTTTGCATGTACTTTATTTGTATGTCGAGCGATCGCTAGCTACGCGCTTCGATATCGTTCCGTTGGGTCACGTGACCAGTACTTTAATCAACATTGATTAAACTTTAATCGGAAGGGGGCTATCATTACTGTCGAAATTTTGTTTTTAATCCATGCTGGGTTACAATTTTTGCCAACGACTTAGACTTAACCAACATAGGTTAAAAGGAATAATTTTGATCAACACTGTTTTTAACCAACTCAAGATTAAAAGTAAATTTTAATCAACACTACATTTTTAACCATGGTTGAGCGTTTTTTAATCAACAATTGTTTAACCCGCAGTTTTTTAATACTTGTTTTAACAGTGAAGTATATGCGTTATTACATGTACCTAGGTTTAGCCATGAATATAATTACAGGATAAAATATTGTGATATAAATAGAATTGATGCTTTATTTTCTTTATATCAAAGAAAAGTATAGCAAAACATGAATTGGCATGAATACAATTACAATAACCATAACCAGGTTCAAGCCAGGTTTGCGCAATGAATATTAGAATACAAAAAGCAAAAGAAAGTACGAAGATGCAATAATTGAATTCAAATCATAGTGACTTGAAGGGAAAATGCATCGCTGTTTAATTGAAATACTATAACCATGCATTACGATGCAGAGTTTCCTCATTCGTGAAGACAATATTCCTATTTAAAAAAAAGCTCTTAACGTTTGTTAAATCATGCATTATACAAAGATTAAAGAAGATTCAAATAGTTACATTTGTTTTATTTTTCCTCTGTTATATGCTGATCTAGGTCATTTGAGAAAATTAAATGTCTGCCTCTCTCAAGCGTTCTGCTAAGAACAGTCCAAATAGGAGAGACTTTGTTTATTATTTCTCCATTCCTCTCTATCTTTTAGCCTACTTCTTCAGTATGTCATTTGATCTCTCACAAATGAACTGAGAAATGGAGTGAAATGAATGTTATCGAATTTCTAAAAAGGTTGCACAGTCTTCCTGTCAAGAGACTATTAACCTCACTCCTGCTCATACATATATAACAAGAATGTATTAAATAGCTGCTTTATACATAGTATGTTTAAGATTTCATTTGTTGTCTTGTTATTTTTCTTTTTCATTTTGCTTTTAAGAGATATGTTAATTTATTCCATGTCCATGTACTTTGTATTGAACATATTCTACAACAATGAAGGATAATTTTCCCCTTTGTTGGGAGACTTCATGGGCATCATCCGTTTAGAGCCAGAAGGGAGTAAAGTTTGAGTGTGTACTAAGTACTGCCCTTACGGGTCCATAACACAACATGTACACATCACACGCTCATATGTAGGTAAATGTACATAGCTGCATTATACTAAGTACACATGTATAGTCAAGCGCGTACGCAGGGGGGAGGGGGTTGAGGTTAACCCCCCCCCCCTTATGAGTTATATTTATTGTTATTTTGTTATATATATATATATATATATATATATGTATATATTTCAAATCGTAATGGACGACCTAAAAAACTAAAAAAAGATGACCTTTCCCCCCCCCCCCCCCCCCCCCCAAACGAAAAGGAATGTCGATCAGTCAAATTTTCAAATTTCGGGACCTAAAAAGATCGGGCAATAATATTTGTTCATTGGTTTACTGTATAACATTTAAAAATTGCCCTGCTCAGATTTCTGATACGTTTAATAATACCCAGTATTTGTTTGATTGAATTTTGTTATTTTATGAATTTTCTATTACACTTTTGTGTAGTTTCATAGAAGCGATGCTATCATAGTGGAATAAATTGCACAGTTTTGTCTTTTAAAATACTCACAAATTGTAAACAGCTATATTATACTAAGTTGTTCATGCATGATTCATGTTGTTAAATTTATAAATTTGCCATGAGTAATGTTTTAAACATGTATATCTAACATACTTACCTGGAAGAATGTATAATTAATATAACAATCAATACTGTTGCAAACTATTACAAGTATGCTCATGATTTGTAAATATATGTTAACTAGCAAGTAAGATTTGTAAGATTTAACACTATCGATTTCAGAATTAACATGTAAACGTTTGATATGTAACTTTTTAAAGGCAAATGCTACAACGTTAAATAGGTTTCACACTTCTGTCATCTATCTTACTCATAACATGTAAATAGCTGCATAATACTTTTTTGGGGGCAATTTTCATTCTTTTTGTTCTTCCCATTCTGCTATGAAATATGTTGGTATGTGTATCCAACAAGTATTTTCAATGGAATTAATAATATCACAATTAAATGAGCTACAAAGTCTTGTTATTTTTTACGAAATCATTCACATTACAAATATGCTCACAACGTGTACATAGCGAAATAATACCGAGTATTTGTAATATTTAACTTTGTTATTGTATGCATTTTTTATGACACAAAAGCGATGCTAAAATGGTGGGAATTTTTTGCACAGTTTTGTCTTTTAAATACTCAAAACTTGTAAACAGCTGTATTAATTATATTGGTTTTTGTATGATTCATGTTGTTGAATTTATACATTTGCCATGAGTAATGTTGAAACATGTACATCCAACAAGTTTATTTGGTAGAGTGTCTGAATAATATCTATCAAAATATATTGACATTACAAGTATGCTCATGATATGTACATAGATATATAAAAACAAGTATTTGTAATATTCAGCACTATTAAATTCATAATGTTGCAATGGAACACGTAAACCTTTGATATGTAATTTTTGAAAGGCAAATGCTACAATATTAAACATATTGCAGACTTTTGTCATCTAACATACTTATAACATGTAAGTAGCTGCATATATGCTTTAGGGGGGCAACTTTCGATTTTTGTTCATATTCTGCTATGAGATATGTTGATATGTGTATCCAACAAGTATTTTCAATAGAATAATTAATATTACAATTAAATTAGCTGCAAAGTCTTGTTTTTTGTTACGAAATCATTCACATTATAAGTATGCTCACAACATGTACAAAGCAACATACCACCCAGTATTTGTATGATTCAAATTTGTTGTTTATATCGGTTTGCTACGAGATATCTTAATCTGTGTTTGTAGTTTGATAGAAGCAATGTTGTAAAATAAAATAAAAACAGTAGCAGCCTTGTTATATATAACACACACACACACACACACACACACACAAAATGTAGCTGCATAATACTAACATTTGATTTTGTTATTAACTTTTCATAAACGCTCATTTTACATTTATATCAGCATAATATCAAGTACATGTACATTTTGATATCGTTGATTTTATAATTTCGCTATGGGAAATATGTATCTTTAAGAGAACTGTTACAATAACTAAAATACGTTTTTAAGCTATACATTTTGTCATCGCTCACAATCGTCACATGAAGATTATACTGATTATTTGTAAAATGTTAATTGTTGATTTTCTTTGAGACTTTTTGATACATCCATATATCTATCAATCAAGTATGAAAACAAGTAATATAACAACTCTGCAAGGTCATGAGGATGATGATGATGATGGCTTACAATGTATTGTATAGTGATGGTATGTTATCAACATGCATCAAGAAATAATTCACATTACAATTATGCTCCTAAAATGTAAACAGCAGCATATTTCACAATATTTTAACTTGATTTGACTTTGTTTATTGTTAATTATTAAATAAATCATGTTTATCTTTGTTGTGTAGATTTATGGAAGAGATACTATTTTCAATACACACATTGTAGCTGTTTTTTCTTCTTCAAATCACTCATTCTCAATAAGAAGATCAATGCATTATATGGTATCTCATTCCACATACAACTATTGGTAATCACTAATCTCCTTTGCCTGTTGAAATATTATTGTTGTTTTAAGTTGTTTTCCTTTTCATTTTTCTATTACGGGGTGGGATTGTTATTCTTGTATTCTATGGAATGTACAATATCATGTGTAGCATTGCGCGAGTCCATCTCTTTTCTCTTTTTTTTTTAATTTGTATTTGTCTGTTATTTTTGGTGAGGGGAAGATGAGTAAAAATCAAAATGCTAAACAAGGAAATACGTTACAATATTACACAGTAATGAACTATAATTGCTAAGTTTTCAGGGTTGCTGGTTGCAAGCAATGTAGTGCTCAACAATGGTGTCGTGAAAACACCAGCCCCAACCACTGAATGTTCCCTGCTCCAGCAGGAAGCCTGAATGATTCCACGGTGAACCTCATACGCAGGCCCTGACTGTTCTTTAGAACCAGTATAAACATATACGATGAGAAAA